ACTGCTCCCCTGCAGACTCTCCACATGGACGTGTGGGGCCCAGCCCGCGTCAGTGGACAAGGCCGCGAGCGCTACTTTCTGCTGGTTGTTGACGACTACACGCGGTACACCACGGTCTTCCCCTTGCGCAGCAAGGGTCAGGTCGTTGATGTCTTGATCCCTTGGATCCGCGCAGTCCGTCTCCAGCTCCGCGAGTGGATCCGCCAGGACCTTCCTGTCCTACGTCTGCACTTTGACAGAGGTGGTGAGTTCTCCTCCGACCTCTTGCGGGACTTTTGTCGTGGGAAGGGCATTCTCTAGTCGTTCACGCTTCCGGACTCCCCTCAGCAAAATGGGATTGCTGAGCGCCGCATTGGCTTAGTCATGGAGGTCGCTCGTACCTCCATGATCCATGCGGCTGCTCCCCATTTTCTGTGGCCGTTTGCGGTCCGGTACGCTGCGCATCAGCTCAACCTCTGGCCTCGTGTCTCCTTGCCGGACACCTCGCCCACACTGCGTTGGACGGGGGAGGTTTGCGATGCGTCGGTGTTCCGGGTCTGGGGCTCTCGTGCCTTTGTTCGCAATACGTCAGCGGACAAGCTCTCCGCCCGCGCTATTCCCTGCGTCTTCCTTGGCTTCCCCCCTGACGCGCCTAGCTGGCAGTTTTACCACCCCACCTCGCGCCGTGTCTTCCCCTCTCAGGACATCACGTTTGACGAGTCGGTTCCCTTTTACCGTCTCTTCCCCTACCGCTCTGCCCTTCCCCCGCCCCTGTCGCTCTTCCTTGCTCCAGGTCCCCCTCCGGTAGACCCCCTCCCCCCCTAGGTTCTTGCTCCCTCAGGTGTGTCTCAGGTAGACCCTCTCCCTGGTACTGTGCCTGTTGAGGTAGCTGTTGACACAGGTACTGCTCGAGGTGCTGCGTCTGGGGGTGCTGCGTCTGGGGGTGCGGAGCCCGAGGGTGCGGAGCCTGGGGGTGCTGAGTCTGAGGGTGCTGGGTCTGGGGGTGCTGAGCTTGGGCGTGCTGAGTCTGCGGGTGTGGAGTCTGAGAGAGCTGAGCCTGAGGGTGTGGAGCCTGGGGGTGCTGAGCCTGGGGGTGCTGAGTCTCGAGTTCTTCCTTCTTCTGGAGGTGGTGCGGGTGCTTCTCCACGAATGTCTCCCCGGCCGGAGCCTCTCTCCCTGCAGCAGCTGCGCGAGTGGCTTACTCAGCGCACACGCTTTCGGAGTGGAGCTACTGGAGCTGGAGACCCTGCCGCTGGAGACACTGGAGCTGGAGGTGCTGGAGTTACTGCTGGAGCTGGTGGTACCGGAGGTGCTCCAGCTGCTGAACCTGGAGGTGCTCGTACCAGGGGTACTGGAGCTGCCCGGACTGGTAGTGTTGGGGGCGCTGGAGCTAGAGACCCTACGAAGCCTGGAGCTGCTAGCGCTGGTGGCGTTGGAGCTGGAGGAGCTCGGGTTGTTGGCGCTGGAGCTGGAGGCACTGGCGTGGGAGGCGCTGGACCTGGAGGAGCTGGAGCTGTTGACCCTGGAGCTGGAGGTGCTGGAGCTGGGGGTGCTGGTGGTACTGGTGCTGGAGGCACTACGCGGCCGCGATCGTACTTTGTTCCCCTACTTCAGAAGGTTCTTGGTGTCCCGTCTTCTACTAGCCTTACTCCTCCCTTACTCTGTCCACCGCCTAACCAGTCGCACCCACCGTTACAGCCAGCCTCCCCACTGCTTGCTCCTTCTCCTTACACTGAGCAGACCGGCGGTCTTACAGAGCGTCGTGAGCCTGCGTCTCGTCCTGCCTCCCCTGTTCGCACTGGTCGTCGCGTTCCTCGTCCGCGTCCTCCTCCTGTCCCCAGCACTCACGCTATGGCACTTCGTCCTTCCTCTGTTCCACTGCGTGTTCCTCTGCCGCCTCCTCCTGGGTCCTCTCTTCCTGCCGTTCCTGACCCTGAGTCTGACCGCGCTCGTGCTGCCAGTCCCACTGTCTCTCGTCTCCTCGCCACTGCTGTCACTGACCCTTCCTTTGAGTCCAGTGCTGCGTCTGCTCTCGTTGTTGAGCTGGTTGACTTTGTTGCTACCTGTCGTCTAGACTACGCCACTGCTCTTGTTGCTGAGTCTGAGTCTGCCAGTCCTCTGTCCGTTGGGGGTGAGTGTGCTCTTGGCACGGACGTTCTTGAGGACAAGCAGGAGGACTTTGAGTGTCTTGCAGCTGCTGTACCTCGTTTCGCTTCCATGCTGCTTGCCCCTGAGGGAGACCCGGATGCACCAGACATCCCGACCCCGCGCTCTTACGTAGAGGCGATTACGGATCCTTACTCCTCTCAGTGGTAGGCAGCCATGGATGCCGAGATGGCATCCTGGAAGTCCACAGGCACCTACGTCGACGCAGTTCCCCCGTCTTGGGCGAACATAGTCGATGGCATGTGGATTTTCAGGGTGAATCGGGCGCCGGGTTCTCCGCCTGCCTTCAAGGCGCGTTACGTTGCTAGAGGCTTCAGTCAGCGACAGGGGGTCGACTACTTCCAGACCTTCTCCCCCACCCCGAAGATGACTACTCTTCGGGTGTTGCTGCACGTCGCTGCTCAGCGTGACTATGAGTTACACTCTCTGGACTTCAGTACTGCCTTCTTGCAGGGCAGCCTGCACGAGGAGATCTGGCTGCGCCGCCCACCTGGCTTCACTGGGTCGTTTCTTGCAGGTACCCAGTGGAGCCTCCGGCGGCCAGTCTACGGTCTCCGCCAGGCGCCTCGCGAGTGGCACGACACACTGAGGACTACGCTTGCGGCTCTGGGGTGTGCTCCTTCTACTGCTGACCTGTCGCTGTTTCTACGCACCGACACGTCGCTGCTGGCGTTCTACGTCCTCGTGTACGTCGACGACCTCGTCTTTGCCACTGCTGACACTGAGGCACTGAACCTTGTGAAGTCGGAGCTGCAGAAGAGACACACATGCACTGACCTGGTCCCTCTGTCCTCGTCCCCGACCTGACCTGCACCTCGTCCCCCCGACCTGACCTGCACCTCGTCCCCCCCCCCCTCTCTCCTCTCCGTTTCCAGCCACCCCTACCCTGAGCCGCCCCTGCCTTGTGCCTGCCCTGACTGCCCTGTCTCTCTTTGCAACTTCTGATGCTGTGGAGGGGAGGTTTGGGGAGGGGGGGGGAGCTTGAAGGGGGGTGGCTGCTGTGAAGCCAGCAGCTCCAGTCGCCCATGAGCCCATTGCTCCAGTCGCCCGTGAGCCCGTTGCTCCAGTTTCCCGTGAGTCAGTTGCTCCGGCCGCTCGTCTAGCCGCAGAGCCAGTTACTCCAGTTGCTCCAGCTACCCGTATGCCAGTTGCTCCAGTTGCCCGTGTGCCAGCAGCTTCAGCCGCCGCCCACCACCTCCTCTCTGCTCATGGTCCCTCCTCCTCCTCACTTGCCCTCTCCTTCTTCCGCTGCACCTGGTGTACCCCTTCAGGGGTTGTTCTGCACATGGTTCTTCACTGCAGGCAGTTAAGGGGTGTGTCGGAATATAATTACATGCATTATATTATAACTGCCTGTAGTGTAGACTTAATGTAGTTCTAAACATTTTTGGTGGTGCACCTCTATTTTCCTTGCATATATGTTTCCAACTTTCTATAGTGAAACCCCCTTCCTTTCTACTCTCGATAGTTGCCTAATACCCAAACCCTAGGCACTACTAAGCTTATCTTAACATGCTATCAGAGCCAGGTTCCTCCTTGGACCTGTCTCATTGGGCCCACCCTTCGCTTCCGCTAATGCGTCACCCTGCTGCCCGTCGCGCGCCCCGGGCGCGCGTCGATTTTCAGCCCGTCGCGCGCCCCGGGCGTGCGTCGATTTCGTGCCCGACGCGCTCCCCGGGCGCACGACGGTTTCCTGCCCATCGCACGCCCCGGGCGCGCGACGGTTTCCTGCCCGTCGCGCGCCCTGGGCGCGCGTTGGATCGCGACGGTTTCTGCCCTTCGCGTGCCCTGCTGTCGCCCGCGCAGCTCCTACACCGCCCCCCCGCCCTCCCTTCTCCTCCACCCCCCTGCTGCGCGTGCAGCAATGGGGGGGAGGGTATGGGGGTGGCGGGTGTGAGTAATCAGCTGCCGCCTCTCCTCCTCTCTCTCCCACTGCTGCACATGCCGCTGTCGGGGGGGCAGGGTGTGGGGGAGACGAGGGAGTGGCGGTATGGATGCTGAGGGGTGTGAAAGGGAGTTTTGGGAAAATGGGGGAGGTTGAAGGGGGGTGGACGCCATGAAGCCAGCAGCTCCAGTCGCCCGTGAGACCGTTGCGCCAGTCGCCCGTGAGCCCGTTGCTCTTGTCTCCCGTGATTCAGTTGCTCCAGCCGCTCGTCTAGCCGCGGAGCCAGTTACTCCAGTTGCCCGTGTGCCAGTTGCTCCAGTTGCCAGTGTGCCAGTTGCTCCAGTTGCCCGTGTGCCAACAGCTTCAGCCACCACCCACCACCTCCTCTTCTCTCATGGTCCCTCCTCGTCACTTGCCCTCTCCTTCCTCCGCTGCACCTGGTGTACCCCTTCAGGGGGTGCTGTTGCACATGGTTCTCACTGTAGGCAGCTAGGGGTGTGTTGAAATGTATTTGTATACATTAAGAGCGTATTCCTATCCTCGTATCAAGAAAACCTCATATCAACCTCCCACTGAAAATTCCCCTAAACCCAAAACCTCTCGCTACTTTTACCAGGCAAAAAGTACAATCTTGATATGAGGTTTTCTTGATACGAGGATAGGAATACGCTCTAATATACCTGCCTACAATAGATCCTAGTGTAGCTATATGCTTCTTGTTTTGGTGGTGCACCTCCCCTCCTTCCCCAAATATGTTCCTATTTTGCTATAGTGAAATCACCTTTCTCCTTTGCTAAACTCTCTCGATACTCATGTTAGTTCCCTCAACCCTAGTCATGAAGATTAACTAGCTATTTCGACACAAGCTAGTGGTTCTTTGTTCAACTCCAACCAAAATAGTCCCACTCTACAATACACCAATACCAACTACCGTAGCTGCATGCAACACATCGGCACTCCATTTGCACCATCAGTATTCCACTTCGCACGGGTCTTCTTCTGTGCACCCCTTGATGCCATACTGCATGGTAAAACACCAGAGAGGGGAATGGAGAGAAATCAATATCGGGGTGAGAAAAAAGTGGCCAAAGGAATTGATCCCCCGTCTCCCTGTATCGGTAGCCTAGGGGCCTTGTATCATGAACATTTACCTCATATGGCAGCCAGATAATGTGGTCTGCATAACCGTGCTACTACATAAATGGTCCCACTGAACCACTTTTTTTCGCGGTTTGGCGCGATGTGAGGGCTACATCTCTTCCATCCAAACACACGCCTGAACTCTTGAAAGTGCACCACTTATTAACAACCACACCATGAAACGACACCTCCTCCATTAAAAGCACGCCCGTATTTAGCGAAGCATGTTTGAGTACACAAAATATGCAGACAACTCGCACCCAGGTTTACAAAAGCAGATGATAGCCGGAATCATCTCACCTTGGTCCGTTTGCGTTCCTCAAAAGCAGCCTGGATACCCGGATGACCTGCCATAAGAATTCAAGCAACAAACACCACCCCAACGTGCATGCACCCATCCACATGCATCGTCTATGAGCGATAGAACAAATTCATTACAGGTCCCTTGGTCAAGTGCAAGTGGATTTTTTCTCTAACAAATAGACAGAATGTTGGGCTAGTTGGTAGCACGACTCGGGAAGTGAAAGCAAAAGAGAGGAAATGAAAAGAGGTGGAAGGGACCGGGAGCGGTGGAGTGAGGTGGGACAGACGGAAGTGAAGGTGGAGCAGAGTGGAATTATGAGCAGGGTGGACAAGGGGAGGTATGAGTTGCATGGATGACCAAAAGCTTCTCTTTGTTCATTACAAAAAGCAGCATGTAAGTACCAGTGAGTGGGGGGCGGTACTTAGCAAAGAGCTCGTACCAGTGAGTGGGAGGCGGTACTTAGCAAAGAGCTCGTACATTGCATCCACCACCACTGCTATCTGAGGGTGAGAGAGAGGGATAGGTTCACGAGAAGAGGTCGAGGTTCAGAGAGGAGGGTGAGGATCAAAGAGCGGGATGAGGAGAAAAGCGTAATCTTAGGGGTGTGCCTACTATTAAGTGATGAAAAGAAGCGGCCACAGAGGAATATGTGAAGAAAGACAGACAGGAGAGCAGCAGTATATACAAGAACAGTATAATAGAACAACAGGGGGAGTTGGAAAATAAAACAAAAAGGTTCAGCAGCAGACGTTACCACATGGTTGGTGGTGGCATGTGTGGTGGCCCATGTGTTGGCCATGTGAAGGCCATGTGGTGCCCATGTGGTGGCCATGTGAAGGCCATATGGTGCCCACGTGATAGCTCTGTGGTGCCCACGTGGTAGCACTGTGGTGCCCACTTGTGAGGAGATCCACACGGCTCTCCTCATAAGTAGCCCGCCCTTCCCTTGCCCATGTAATGAGCTCGGGGGTGAGTGGTCAGCTACTTGTGAGGCGCCTTGAATGGAAAGGATGGCTTACCCGGGGGAAGTTGGTGACGTTGATGATCCATCCATCCAGCCCAGCCCCACTGCACCATAAAATCTTTAGTCGACTCAAAAGTTACTGCTGACGGGCGGGAAAGTGTGAGTGACTGCTTTTGCTGCGCCTAGAACAGAAAGGATTGCGTACTGGGGGGAAGTTTGTGACGTTGATGATCCATCCCAGCCCCACTGCCTCGTAGAAGCTGCGGAACGCCTGGTGTGAGGGGCAGGGGAGGGGGGGAAAGGGGTGGCGGGAGGGAAATTGAGAGTGATCAAAAGCGCCCCAACGAAGATCCACGCTCTCATCCCAGCCCCACTGCATTGCAGAATCTGCGGAAAGCCTGTGTGAGGGGCAGGGATGGGGAGAAGGGGCATCGAGAGTGATAGAAAGCGCCCCAAAAGAGCCTCCAAATCGTTCCATACTGAGCCTGGTGCAACCCCATTGCATCCCAGCCCCACTTTTGAGACGCCTCAAAAGTCAACCCCACTGCATCCCAGCCCCAATTTTGAGACGCCTCAAAAGTCAACCCCACTGCATCCCAGCCCCAATTTTGAGACGCCTCAAAAGTCAACCCCACTGCATCCCAGCCCCACTTTTGAGACGCCTCAAAAGTCAACCCCACTGCATCCCAGCCCCATTGCATCGTAGAAGCTGCAGAGAGGCTGTGCGAGAGGGGGGGAGAGAGGGAAGTGGCGTTGAGAGTGAGTAAAAGCGCCCCCAAGGAAGCCTGCAAAGTTGTTACACACCGAGCCTGGTGCAAGGGCAACCCTTCCCAGGGCAACCCTTCCCAGGGCAACCCTTCCCAGGGCAACCCTTCCCAGGGCAACCCTTCCCAGGGCAACAGCATCGTAGAAACTGCTTAAGCCTGTGAGGAAGGGAGGTAAGGAACATGTATGAAGCACTGGGGCTCGAATGGCGTGTACATACTCCATGTACAGGCTGCGTGTATGAAGTATTTTGAGACGTCTCAAAACACTTCTCCATGTACAGGCTGCGGAATAGGCCACTACCACTGGTTTGTATGCTCACCCCCTGTCTTTACCTTCCCTCTCGGCTTACTTGCCCGTTAGATTGCATTACGTAGTATGCACTGGCTCACCTGTGCCTTGATCTCTACTAGCTGAACCGTTCATTGTATTCAATAAAGACCGTTCGAGTGTTACGTGTTGCTGCTTGTGCAGGGAGAGAGAGTGTTACACGTTGCTGTGCAGAGAGGGAGAGTGTTACGTGCGCACGCAACACTCCAGTCCACTCCACATGAAAACTCATACATTCACATGCCATCTCACACATTTAAATGCCAGCCCATACATTCACATGCCAACTCACACATTCAGATGTCAGCTCATACATTCACATGCCAACTCACACATTCAAATGTCAGCTCATACATTCACATGCCAACTCACACATTCAAATGCCAGCTCATACATTCACATGCCAACTCACACATTCAAATGCCAGCTCATACATTCACATGCCAACTCACACATTCAAATGTCAGCTCATACATTCACATGCCAACTCACACATTCAAATGCCAGCTCATACATTCACATGCCAACTCACACATTCAAGTGCCAGCTCATACATTCACATGCCAACTCACACATTCAAATGCCAGCTCATACATTCACATGCCAACTCACACATTCAAATGCCAGCTCATACATTCACATGCCAACTCACACATTCAAGTGCCAGCTCATACATTCACATGCCATCTCACACATTTAAATGCCAGCCCATACATTCACATGCCAACTCACACATTCAGATGTCAGCTCATACATTCACATGCCAACTCACACATTCAAATGTCAGCTCATACATTCACATGCCAACTCACACATTCAAATGCCAGCTCATACATTCACATGCCAACTCACACATTCAAATGCCAGCTCATACATTCACATGCCAACTCACACATTCAAATGTCAGCTCATACATTCACATGCCAACTCACACATTCAAATGCCAGCTCATACATTCACATGCCAACTCACACATTCAAGTGCCAGCTCATACATTCACATGCCAACTCACACATTCAAATGCCAGCTCATACATTCACATGCCAACTCACACATTCAAATGCCAGCTCATACATTCACATGCCAACTCACACATTCAAGTGCCAGCTCATACATTCACATGCCAACTCACACATTCAAATGCCAGCTCATACATTCACATGCCAACTCACACATTCAAGTGCCAGCTCATACATTCACATGCCAACTCACACATTCAAATGCCAGCTCATACATTCACATGCCAACTCACACATTCAAATGTCAGCTCATACATTCACATGCCAACTCACACATTCAAATGCCAGCTCATACATTCACATGCCAACTCACACATTCAAGTGCCAGCTCATACATTCACATGCCAACTCACACATTCAAATGCCAGCTCATACATTCACATGCCAACTCACACATTCAAATGCCAGCTCATACATTCACATGCCAACTCACACATTCAAGTGCCAGCTCATACATTCACATGCCAACTCACACATTCAAATGCCAGCTCATACATTCACATGCCAACTCACACATTCAAGTGCCAGCTCATACATTCACATGCCAACTCACACATTCAAATGCCAGCTCATACATTCACATGCCAACTCACACATTCAAATGCCAGCTCATACATTCACATGCCGACTCACACATTCAGATGCCAGCTCATACATTCACATGCCAACTCACACATTCAAATGCCAGCTCATACATTCACATGCCAACTCACACATTCAAATGTCAGCTCATACATTCACATGCCAACTCACACATTCAAATGCCAGCTCATACATTCACATGCCAACTCACACATTCAAATGCCAGCTCATACATTCACATGCCAACTCACACATTCAAGTGCCAGCTCATACATTCACATGCCAACTCACATTCACTTTGCATACCAAATGACATTGAGAACGGAAATTGGCTTGCTTTGAACCACAGACCTGTGGCTTTGCTTTTGTGGATTTTGTTTTTGGGTTCCATCATTCTGGCGTCTGAATGCGTAAGTAAGACTCATATTTTCTACGCTTTCATTTTTCCAAGTACAGACTTTGGCGAAACCGAAATTGCAGGCAACAAAGCGTATGGACCCTCAATAAATCGTCGGCTCGGCTCACATCCCGCAACCAAGCAACTCACGTCCATGCTTTTGACAACTGTGCCGTCTCGAAGGACCCCGTGCATGTGACCCATGGCCTGCCGTGGGAAGGGGATAAGAATTCAGGAGACTGTTGTTATTATGGAATGCTGTTGAGTTGAGACAAGCAAGAGGTTTTTATGATAAATGGAATGTTTTCTTAGTGGAATAAAAACGAATGTGACTTTATGTACGAGGAGGCAAGGGGGAATTAGATGGGAGGGAGACATGCAATGCACAGGAGTCAAATCTTGTTACACACGTGACACACCTCCTTGTATGTGACTCCTCTGTATTCCTCAGTCGAAATGGACAAAACTTGAAGTAATACCATACCATCTTTATCCTCGATACTACAATTATTGTTTCACGCAACTTAAGCGTGTGAAAAAATCCAACTCAATCTAAGATTACAACCTTCTTTATCCTCGTTACCATCCTCATACTCGACTCCGCCATTTTCATCGGAATCATACTCTGAGGAGATATCCATAAACTTGGACGTGTGATGTTCCATTTTATAGACTACTACCTTCGGTAACATCGTTACAATCACTCTCTCGTTACACACACACACACCTCTTTGTACTCGACGCCGCCATTCTCATCGGGGTCATAATCCTCTGAAGAGATGTTTACGAACTTGAGCGTTTGGAACTGCCCCTAAAAACGAAACGACTGCAAAATGTATCCTCGTTACGAGCCCCAATGATCACCCTCCTTGTACGCACCTCCTCATACTCGACTCCGCCATTCTCGTCGGGGTCATAGTCCTCGGAGGAGATATCCACAAACTTGAGTGTTTGGAACTGCTTGTTGCGCGCTGAGAGGAACTCCACCTGCAAGAGGGAGGGGGGTGGTTGGGTGGTGAAAAATGAGAAAGAAGGGCGATTCATGCACATCAAATCAAAAGGCGGACTTGAGAGGTTGAAAATGCTTGTTGGAACTCCAGGAAGGAACTCCACCTGCAAGGGGACGGAGTGTGGGTAGGAGGAAGGAACTCGACCTGAAAGAAGGAACTCGACCTGAAAGAAGGAACTCGACCTGAAAGAAGAAACTCGACCTGAAAGAAGGAACTCGACCTGAAAGAAGGAACTCGACCTGAAAGAAGAAACTCGACCTGCAAGAAGGAACTCGACCTGAAAGAAGGAACTCGACCTGAAAGTACGAACTTTCTCTGTCCCACCCCACGTGGCAGCCTCTCACCTGCTTCATGCAGATTGGGCAGTCCCCGTCATATAGCACCTTCACCTTCCACGTGTCACTCTCCTGTTGCTCTGCTGACGTGGCACTCTCTGCCTGAGCTGCTGCAAAGGCTGTTCCAGCTGGTGAGAGGAGAAGCGGGGGTCAGGAGGTTGAGGAGGGAAGAAGGGAAAAGGAGGGACGAAGGGAAGGGATTAGAGAGGAAGGGAGGACAACAAGCAGGAACGGAGTCGCTATTATGATTATGTATTGGTCCAAAGCAGAGAAGTATGAATAGAGGCTTAGATGGGCGAGGAGGGAAAAGCGTATCGTACAACCAAGGAGCGTATTCTTAAAGTGCTCTGACCTCTTTTGTGCATTAATGGGTTTTCCTCTCGAGGGAGGCCTGTGCTGCATATAACCAAAGCCTATGAACTCAAACTGAGAGCATAAACAAAAAAAGCACCCACCTCGTAATCTTGACGTTCCTGAGGGCCTGGGTGGGCAGTAGGTGTTAAGCAGTACATGACTGCTGCGGCTGCTCGCGCTTCTGAAGCTGCTGCTGCTGATGCTGCTGCATGCTCTGCTCGTGCTTGTACCGCAGTGGTGGCCGCGTGACAGAAACGAAGCCACAGGCGCTGGAGAGGCTGACGGGTGGCTCAGATTAGACGAGGATCGCTGCAGCACGAGGCTTGTAGGGCTTGTGAGGCTTGTGAGGGTGGTGGGGGTTGAGAGGCGGCAGGTGGATGACAGAGCCGCAGCCTCCATGGGTGATTCTGCGGGTGTGGGATCAACATCACATCGACACACACAGGGGAAGGGTGGCCTTTGAACCAACACAATAGGCCCGTAGGCTCCATGAGCGATCCTGTGGTGGGGGTTGGGAGGCGGTAGGTGGATGAGAGGGCCGCAGCCTCCATGGGTGATCCTGCGGGTGTGGGGTCGCATCACCACAGGGAAGATCAAGGGCAGAACCAGGAGAGGCAGAGACATCAGCAGAGTTATGAGCGCGACACGGTGGAGAGGGATGAGTGCGACACGGAGAGTGGAAAGAGAGACCTGGAAGAAACAGATCAAGTGGGAGCGAGCGTCAAGGACTCAGCACCGTACGCGTGAGTGTGACCGTCCCTTAGGTAGCCTTAGGTCCCTTCAGTAGGCGCGAACACCAGAAGAAAGCAATGTTATCGCGGAAAGTTAATAGCAGCACCATTCGAATATTTGTCTCCGTTATGAGTTTGCCCGTTCTTCCTCGTTCGCCTGCCCAGTTTTGTCACCGTGTCTCTTCTTCCACAACGTTAGCCGCGCCTATCGGGTCCTTACTCTGCCGCATTCAGTCTCCTTGTTCTGATTACTTATTCTGTCCCATTCTGCCTTCTTCCGATTCCTTCTTCCGTCTCTTTGTGTCTTATTGTGATTCCTGAACTCATCTCATTCTGCCTTAATCTAATTCCTTATTCCGCCTCATTCCGTCTTATTCTGACAACCTGAGCTGTCAGAACTTCAATATACTGTTGCGGTCATTACCTTGAGCGACGGAGATCGCCCGTTCTGATTATGAAAGGAAGGATTGTCGATGCCAAGCCGAACACAGCACAGCCTCTCAAACACACAACGCGCAGCGGGATCACTCGAAATGCGTCGACGGAGAGAAAGAGAGAGGGAGCGAGACAAGCAGAATCCAGAAGAGACGTTCTTTCCGAGCCGAGTAGATAACAAGAACTGATGCTCTTACTACGTGTAGTTACTTCTTGCGTCTCGCTCAGCAATATCAAGGCTACGACTCAGATTCCGGACAAAATCAAAGCTCAAGCTGGGTGACAGGTGGACACTTGCCAAAAAGGTACGCTTTTATTGGCCAATATCTAACCACTTGTTCACCACCTTGCCCCCTACAGTACGTGACACAGTGTAGGACCCAATTCCCAATCCCAAGGCTGCTTCGAGAATGTTGATGGAAGCAGCTGGGAGCACAGACGCAGACCCGAAACATCCTCGGAAAAAGGCCATGACGAGCCTGACGAGATTCGCGAACTTCAAACGAGGAATATGAGCGAATGTGAGCCCAGCATTATGACTGTCACGACGGTCAACGAAGTGATTGCAGACTCAACGAGAAGGGATACGGGTAACGGGAGATCTTCTTTCTTCAACGACCACCGCCTATCTGCCAGCACAAGCAACCCCGCTTCGCATCGCTGGTTCCCGAGTCCTGACATGGCACGAACGGCCAGATCCACGTGCTGAGGAACTGGCGCGTGGTGCAACAAAGGTGGAGTGGTGGGAGATTGTGGTGGCGGTGTGTTCCGATTGGTGGTCACCACGACACCTGGCAGTGATCTGGTCAGAATGGGCAGAAACTCGCTGCCCAGTGCCAGCCAGAAGCCCACGCGCTGACGTGGAAGTAAACTTTCCTCGAAGTTGGTGCAAGTTGAGCTCTTATCGAGTACTTCTGCACCAGATCTACTTGCACAAAATACAATACCGTGAGTGTTGCAAGAGTGGTATGAAATTGGAGAATACAAGTAGCACCACTTCCAATATGCAACACCTTTCAAGCATTTAGTTTTGCTACTACAATGCATAAGCTGCTCATCAAATCCCAGCACAACCTTAATATGCTCTACGCCCCGACCGTCCCTTTTTCTCGTCTCGGTCTTTAAAAAACGAAAGCAGCAGCAGCACAGACCAGAACCCAAAGCCCCACCAGAAGCGACCACCACCACCCCCACCTCCTCCACCACCCCCATCGTCATCCCGAGGAGGGAAACCTGTTCCCCCCATGTCAAGCTTCGCCACTGGAGGAGCAGGAGACAGTAGGGGCACGGGTGCAACAGGGCAAGAGCGCAACGAAAGTGGGTGAATGTAGTAGATTGGCTGAGAAAGAGTGATTCGTGAGTTTGTAATGGTGGCGATATGGTAGGCAGGAAGAGGAGTGATGCAGAGCATGTGGCAATGGGGGGGGCTCAAGGAGGAGAGGGGTGGGGTGGAGGGGAATAGGTTAGGATTCTCAAGGTGAAGCGGCGGAGGGTGGGGAGGATGGGAAGGAAGAATGAGGGGAGGGTCAACATGGAGACGGGGAAGGGAGGGACGGGAAGAGGGAGGACGGAGGCAGATAAACGATGAGGCAGCTTGGGAGGGAGGTGGGAGATGGAGAACAGAAAATGATAGATGTAGAAGACGAGAAGGGGGAAGAGTGGAAGAAAGGAGGGCGGAAGGGAGCGAGGAAAGAAAGAAGGGCAAGGGGAAGAGGGAACAAAGAAGGGGGAAGACATGGAGGAATGAAGGGAGGAAGAAGATGGGGGAGGAAATGGAGGGCGAGAAAATGCGGGAGAGGAAAGATGGAGGAAGGGATGAAGCACAACAGGAGGGGATGGATGGAAAATCGAGAAAAGAACCTCGCCATCATTTCACGTACCATATCTAGCCCCATTGCTTCTGTTGCATGGCCTGCTGCTGCTGCGATTGCAGCGACCATGATTACTCAACAAGAGATATCCAATCTGTATTGGCAGCTGATGGTCACAGAGCTCACACAATTGGCAGCTGACGTGCCGCACCTCACCAACGAATACGGACTGATTCTGCTGTGTTTCCTGCTGCGATCCCGACGACCCTGGCAACGAAGCCGTCTCTCCTCTTGTCCCGTGAGACAAAGTCAGTCACAGCACCTCAAGACCCAACCAGACGATTTCCCTATTTCCACACACCGTTGAGAGCCGACCGGCCCTCAGCTCACCGTTCAGAGCCGACTGCTTCTGCTGTGTGCCCTGCTGCGATCCCAACGACCCTGGCGATGACAACTACGACTCTCTAGTTCGATTTTGGACTCACCATTAGAAACGGACTGCTCCTTCTGCCTGGCCTGCTGCGATCCCAACGACCCCGATCACGGCGGCGCCTTTCCTCGTGTCCCTGAATTCAGGTAATAGCACAGCACCCATCACTATTTGATCAATACTTTTCCCATTCTGAGCTCACCGTTGGGCGCCGATTGCTTTTGCTGTGTTGCCTGCTGCGATCCCGACGTTCCCGACGACGACTGCGACTCTCCTCCGCCGCCGGACGACATCTGCGTGTCGCACGCCGCCGCGTGAACAACCAGCGACGCATTATTGCTTCGTCGCAGAACTGGCGAAGGTCTTATGATGTTTTGAGGCGCGTGTTGATTCATGTTTAGCCGCAGGATCGCCGACGGTCTGATGCCGTGTTGAACTGCTGACGATGTGGGAGTGACATAGAGCGACGTGCACGCGAATTGTGGCGACGTTCTTGTCTGCGACATTTTCCCGTTTCGCCAGTTTCGGCAAGATGACGAGGACACTAAATCGACCGACGGTGTTACCGCGAGAGAAAGTGACAGTGGCATTGCTAACGGTCAGTGGAACAGCAGGCGCAATGGGTGTCAGACGAGACTAACCTTACGGTAATCAACGGTCTAGGCTGCGCCGAAACACTCGGTCCCGTGGAATTTATTCGTTCGTTCGTTGTGATCAGCAAGGAGCAGACGTCATGGGAGTAGACAAATGACCCTAAGGGAGGACTAGTTCCCGAAGAATAACGTCGCCGTGATCTTGCAATGAAGCACAAGCGCCGTGGTCCATGCAAAATGCTGACAGAACGGAGGCAAGTGGCACAATCACTTTCCTGCTCCTCCTAACCTCTCGCTCCCGTTTCCATCCAAAGCTCGACGGGTAGGATGTATTGAGTCGAGTATGCAACATTTGGTATATACTGTACACAGAGGCATAGCTAGGTAATTATGCACTCTCCATATAATGAATCCTAGAAATTGGGTAACAGAAAGCCAAAAGCAAATAAAAGATCCAAGTACAGAAGCCACATAACAGTAGACATTTTCTCTGTGCACTTAAGATAGCAAAGGAGCTTTCCGAATCTTGATAGAATTGATTAACTCGGATAATCTCACATAATACACAAAAGTCACCACCATCTTCTCTATATAGCAGCAGCATCCAATGAGCGCAATCTGGAAGCAACAGCAATTCTGGCTAGATTAATGTCCCTCACAACACCCTTGGGCGCCGGCAGAGAGAGAGCAATAATCTGGCGACACATGGGCACATATCGAATCCCCAACCCCCTGTAGTGATTCACCCTTATAATGTTTGTATGTAGATTCAACCCACCGCCCGTACTCCCTATAAGCAGCCCCTGCACATCGTCAACAGGAATCAGCTTCCCTGTAAAAGTTGCCCCACTAAGAGCACCCACACTCGTACTGTTTCCTGTACCGTTACCATTATCGGTACTGTTACCCTCTTCCCTGCCGGAAGTGGCCAGAAGGGCAGCGGCAGCTGCACCAGAGGCAGCAGCAGCGGCATCAGGGGGAGCATTGGCATCATAGGCAGCGTTGAGCTCGTAGACCCGGTGAATCTGCAGCACCTGCGCTGCTCGAGGGTTGACCACGTACTTTCGATGGCCGTCCCACTTGAGGCATGCGTCTCGACTGTGGTAAACAGAGGGGAAGAGGGGGGGGGGGATCATAGGCAGGTAGGGTTGAGTTCGTACAAGAGGTGGATTTGTGACACCTGTGCTGCTCGAGGGTTCAACACGTACTTTCGATGGCTGTCCCACTTGAGACATATGATGAAAGGAGGGGGAGAGTGCAGAGAGCTGGAGTGGAATGTCCTCCTGAAGAACCACCTGAAATACAATCACCTGGAGGGACTCCTGGAGAAGCACTTGGAATAGAGAGGCATATTGTATTGGAGAGCTCCTTGCGTTACAACTAGTGCGCCACTCACACACCTGTTAAATTCACCTGAAGAATCACCTGCGTAGCTAAAGCAAACGCACCTGTAGTACTTGGTGGCCTCCTTGTAGTGCGCCATGCCACTCACACTTGTGCTAAATTCACCTGAAGAACTACCTGAGCACCAATGCAACCGCACCTGTAGTACTTGGTGGGGTCCTTGCAATGCATACTCACTTTCTGCTGTATTCACCTGAAAAACACCCTAGCAGCAGAAGCAAAGCAAACTCACCTGTAGTACTTGGTGGGCTCCTTGCAGTGCGGCACCGGCTCTCGAAACACCAGCTGCTCCACTGCCCACGGCTCCCACCCCGCCTCCTGTATGGGAAGGGGTTGAGTGGGTTTGACAGGGGTTTAGGAAAGGGTTGAGTGCGGTGTGAAGTGCCTTGACCTATGGAGCCCAAAACACCAGCTGCTCCACCACCCAAGGCTCCCACACGGCCTCCTGTATAAGTGGAGGTGACAGGGGCATAGGAAGGGGCTGAGTGCGGTGCGAAGTGTCCTGACTTATGAAGCCCGAAACACCAGCTGCTCCACCACCCAAGGCTCCCACCCGGCCTCATGTGGAAAGGGGTTGAGTGGGGTTGGCAGGTGCAGAGGAAGGGGTTGAGTGGGGTTGGCAGGTGCAAAGGAAGGGGTTGAGTGGGGTTGAGAGAGGTATAGGAAGGGGGGTTGGCAGAGGCATAAACCCGGGCAGGGGTATAGAAAAGCCACACAGAGGGTACACACACACCTGTATCTTGCCGCAGATGTCAAGAGGGAAGGTGAGGGATCCGAAGGAGAGCCAGGGGATGGCGGGCACCGAGTTGAGAAAGACGAGCAGCGAGTGTGGCGGCTCCACCACGTGAATGTACTCGTCCACGTCCATGAATAGCACCCACCTGACGGGGGATGAGGGAATACGGCGGAACATGGTGTGTTATGAGTCGACTCAAAGCAGGCTTGTGTGAAATGAGTGGCTCCACCACGTGAATGTACTCGTCCACGTCCATGAATAGCACCCACCTGGCGAATGGGGGGACATGGAGGGCATGGAAGAGAACCCAGCTGACATGGAATGCGATGGAAGGCACACGGAAGGCGAATGGATGGCAGATACTTGACTGTGGTGGCCCCACCACGTGCATGCACTCTTGCACGTCCATGAATAGCACCCATTTAATGGGTGGAGCACATATAGTAGAGCATGGAAGTCGCATGGAAGGCACATGGTGTGTTATGAGTGACACCACTTGAGTGAGGTGGCTCCATCACGTGCCCGCACTCTTGCACGTCCATGAATGCCACCCACCTGATGGGTGGGGGGAAGGGAGGGGATATGGAACACATGGTGTGCTGCGAGTGCCATCACTTGAGTGGGGCAGCTCCTCATGTGCATGCACTCTTGCACGTCTATGAATACCACCCACCTGATGGGTGGGGACCTCATTGCAATTTGCAAGACATGTGCGAGCGAGACACATGCAAGACACATGCGAGACACATGCAAGACACATGCGAGACACATGCATGGAATGCACATGAATGGGTGAATGTACTCGTCCAAGTACATAGTATCCTTGTGGTGGGGGAGAGGGTGAGGGAAATACGGCATGCAGGGCAGCCATGGAACACACATGGGAAGCATGTGGAGGACACGTGGATGGGTGGCTCATGTGAGTGTGGCTCCACCACATGAATGCGCTGGAAAACGATCGAGCTGAAATCTGAATACTTAGCAAGTTAAGTTTACCGAAAATTTTATCCTCACAGCGATGGATCGGTGGGACGCTAGATAGAGAGGATGAGAGGAGGGATGAGGGAGGGGGTGAGAGAGGGCGAGAGAGAGGGTGAGAGAGAGGGTGAGGGAGAGGGTGAGAGAGAGGGTGAGAGAGAGGGTGAGGGAGAGGGTGAGAGAGAGGGTGAGGGAGAGGGTGAGGGAGAGAAGGGGCGGCGGAAGTTACTGGGTGAGTTGTCGAGACCTGAGAGCGCAGTCGTTCACCATGAGCACCTGCCAGGGCGCACGAGGAACAAGCGTGTGAGCGATCATGTGACTGTCGTCCGACGCACAATACAGAAACAGCCCCCGCCCTGCTCAAGGCCTCTACATCACACCTTTAAGTCCCTTGCCCTACCCATGCTCCATCACAGGCGCTCACACGCTTGTTCCTCCTGCCCTGCGTCCGCCCACCCTCCCTGTGAGTCGGATGAGAGATAATGTGATGGATGGCCCACCCCTTTCCCCCCCCTATTCCTCCTTTCCCCATTTACCCCTTTCCCCCCCACACACAACATGCGCATAGCTCCACGTGTCATAGAGCGCTGGCCCTCTGATATCAGTAATATCCGTGATGCCCGCCCTGAGATAGGGAGTCGAAGAGTGCCGTCATGGTTATGTGTGCACACACCATGGTGGAAGAGTGCCGTCATGGTTATGTGTGCACACACACACACCTCGCCTCCCCCATCTCAACTCAGCCATACCCACCTGCGCATAGCTCCACGTGTCATAGAGTGCTGCCCCCCTGATGTCAGTGATATCCATGATGCCCGCCCTGAGGTACGGCCTCAGAGCTGCCATGACGTCATCATCCATGGCCCCTGCATCATACATGCGCAGATACTGGGGGGTGTGGGGGCATGGAGGCATGGGGGCATGGAGGCATGGGGGCATGGAGGCATGGGGGCATGGGGGCATGGAGGCATGGTGCAGAAGGTAACGTATTTAGTACATCTGATGTCCACTATCATCTATGGCCCCTGCATCGCACGTGAGCAGCTACTGTAAGGGGGGTGCATGGATGGATGCAGGGAGGCAGGGAGGCAGGGAGGGAGGGAGAGATGCACTCACATCCACTCCAGCAGCATACTCGTGCACATGCTGCAGTCATGAGCATCTCATCTCATGTGCATGCCATGCGTACACATGCTTGCATTGCACTCTCGCCACTCACATGAGTCACATCCATGCCATGCACAGAGCTTCAATCCACTCCAGCAGCCTCTGCGTGTCGATCGCCCCGAACAAGCAGTCATGTGCATGCCATGCCATGCCATGCCATGCCATGCCATGCCATACCATGCCATGCCATGCCATGCCATGCCACGCCATGCACACACATGCTCACTCACATCCACACCATGAACTGATCGGTGGAATTCAATCCCACTCCAGCAGCCACTGAGAGTCACCCGATGAATCACGGATATGTGCTGCTCATGTGCAACGCACACTGTGCATGTCATATCATGCATCATGCCACGTGTCACCATGTGCGCTTATGCTTACTCACATCAACACCGTGAACCGATCTATGAAACTCGATCCACTCCAGCAGCCGCTGCGTGTCGATCGCCCCAAACATGGGCGCGGAGCAGTAGGTCAGGTTGCGCTCAAACACCCGCACGTCCTCCCGAACCTCTGGCGGAGGCTCGGGCGTGCCGGGGCTCTCCTTGTAGACCACCACGTCCTGCTGATCCACCGCCATCTTGAGCGTGCCGCCCACCCTGGTGAAGGAGAGGTTGATTGAGGCGAGTAAGAGGGAATACACACACCTATATTGACTGGATCGTCCACACACACAGGAGTAGACAACACAAAGCAACTCAGGCTGCTGGCATCGTGCGTGCATGCGATGCAACCCCTGCAACTTGCGTGCTCCAGTCCAGGCCACATCTGGCTGGATACTCTCCTTGTAGACCACCTGGTCCTGCTGCTCCACTGCCACCTTGAGTGTGCCGCCCACCCTGGGAGGGGAGAGAGGTGAGGGGTGAGGGTGGAGAGGTGAAAGGGAGTGGTTCAATCCAATCCAAAGGCGCCTTTGCTGTGCAAGCAGCTGATTCCTCAGCAGCAACACCACTGATCAACAGCCCAATGAGTGTGCCGCCCACTCCCCCTGGCTGGGTGGCTGGGTGACGTAAGGGGAAAGGAGCACACTGGATCACACAACAAGTCGAATCACCCTCACCCACTGGCTCAAAGACAAGTGTTGAGGCGACTCAAAAGTGGTTCACAGAGAGACCTATGAGGGTGCACAGTGCACGCATGTGGTGCAGCTCGAGCAGACTGTGCTAAAAAATAACGGTCAAATTTTTGAAAAACCGACTGTTAAATATGACCACAACAAACGGCCCGTGTAATACGACAGCCGTATTTTCGAACCTTGCGCGCAGTGACCTGAACGAAGCAACACATACACTCACAGAGACACACTAACACTCTAACTCATCACATGGAGCTCACTGGTCGCACTAAAGCAGCACACACAGAGCTAGTCCTCTGTCTGACTCACTCACCTGCAGCTCACTGGTCGCTGCAGGTCGCACTAAAGCAGCACACACTTGTATGCGCTGCATGGTGCTGCAGTGCGCTGCATGGTGCCACACATGTACTCACAAGGAGAGCCAACTCTTTCTGGCTCACATGGATCTGACTGGTCGCTGCACTGCAGGTCCCAGTATAGAATGGCTCACTCATAGGCACACTCATAGGCACACTCATAGGCACACTCATAGGCACACTCATAGGCACACTCATAGGCACACGCATGGTGCTGCAGTGTGCATGGTGCTGCAGTGTGCATGGTGCTGCAGTGTGCATGGTGCTGCAGTGTGCATGGTGCTGCAGTTTGCAGAGCAGCAAACACTCGTACGCACGTGCATGGTGCTGTTCTCTGCTCTATGGTGCACCTCAGAGTTGCATGGTGCTGTTCTCTGCTCTATGGTGCACCTCAGAGTTGCATGGTGCTGTTCTCTGCTCTATGGTGCACCTCAGAGCTGCATGGTGCTGCAATGCGCTGTATCGTTCTGTGCTGCACTCACATGGAGCTGACTGGTCGTTGCAGGTCGCAGTACAGCAGCACACACGTGCGTGCGTGCATGGTGCTCCACGTGTAATCACACAGAGAGCTAAACCTCTGTGACTCACATGGAGCTGACTGGTCGTTGCAGGTCGCAGTACAGCAGCACACACTCATAGGCGCGTGCATGGTGCTCCCCTGGGAACTTCACTGAGATGGCGCCATCTGTCCACTGCCCATTGGCTGACTCCCACCTGTGGAGGAGAGGGGGCGGGGAGAAGGGGGGTTGGAAGCGGGGGAGGAGGAGGAGAGGGGGAGGAGTAGGAAGGGGAGAAGAAGAGGAGGAGGAGGAGAAGGAGGAGGAGGAGGAGGAGGAGGAGGAGGAGGAGGAGGAGGAGGAGGAGGAGGAGGGGGAGGAGGAGGAGGAGAAAGAGGAGGAGAAGGAGGAGAAGGAGACAGAGGGGGCGGAGAGAAGGGAGGGGATGGAAGGGACGACGAGTTTGGACCTTAGGGTAGAATGGAAAGAGTTGTGTGGTCCGGAGACAATGACGTGAAGCATTGCTCTGCGTGCCATGTATTCAACTTGCAGGAGGATCCTACTCAGACAGACAGACAAACAGACAGACAGACAGACAGACAGACAGACAGACAGACAGACAGACAGACAGACAGACAGACAGACAGACAGACAGACAGACAGACAGACAGACAGACAGACAGACAGAAAGACAGACAGACAGACAGACAGACAGACAGACAGACAGACAGACAGACAGACAGACAGACAGACAGACAGACAGACAGACAGACAGACAGACAGACAGACAGACAGACAGACAGACAGACAGACAGACGCATGCATGCGGGCATGGACGCACACACATCACATGTGACACTCATGCAAAGGAGCAGTGCCATGCAGATGCAGGGATGACGTCATGGTAGGCATGAGCAAAAGTTGGAGCCGTGCCGTTGTCTCGGGTCGGGTTCCGCATGGCGGCATGGCCATGGGCCTGACCTGGCTGGTCTGAGCTGCTGCAGCTGCATGCTTGTTATATGCCTGCCTGCCTCGCCAGCCGTGATGACGTGATGATGCATGAGAGGCATGGGGACCCATCATAATATGAAGATCCATCACGCAACAAGCTGAGCATTATAGAGGAGAAGCATGCATGGGTGCCTGCTTGCTTGCTTTGCTTGCATGCTTGTATGCCCGCCCTGCCCGCTCTCCTCACCAGCAGTGCTGGGCAGTGATGACGTCATGGTGTGTGAGAGGCATGAGGCCCATCGCGACCACGCGGTGGGGTGTGATGCGGTACGCGCTGAACTGGATGAATCCCTCCTTGCTGCTGCTGCCGTCGAAGCTGTGAGGAGGGAATCAAGTGTGCGTGTACAGGCATAGGGGAGAGGCATGGGAGCGTGCACAGCACAAGTATAACGCAGAGAGTTGGAGAGGGGTGTGATGCGGTACGCGCTGAACAAGATGACGCCCTCCTTCTCCTTGCTGCTGCTGCTGCTGCCGTCGAAGCTGAAGCTGGGTGTGTGCGGGCAGAGACATGGAAGCATGCACAGCACAGGGTATAAGGCAAAGACTTTTGAGTCCATTCAAAAGGAAGAGACTAGGAGGAGGAGGGGGAGTGATGCGGTAGGCGCTGAACCGAATATAACCCTCCTTGCTGCTGCTGCTGCCGTCGAAGCCGCGAGACGTGAAAGAGAACTACATTGCTGTGTCCGCTACTGGATGACTTGCGGGGGGGCGTGGGGGGGGGAGTGGTTGATGCGCTACATGATGAACTGACTGAACGCCTCCTGGCTGCCGCTGCTGCCATTGAAGATGGCAATGCGTGCATATCGGCCCAAAAGGCGCACCACTCACTTTTGTTTCCGCATCTCCAGCATTTCAAGCTCCGCCGGAGTGAGCTTGTGCGCCGCTGCCCGCGGATGCCGCCTCCCCTCGCCGCCGCTTCCCCCCCTCTCCCTCCCGCGAACCCCGCCGCCTAAACCGCCGCTGCCGCCTTTCCCGGCGCGGGAGAGCAGCGGCACGGAGGGCGCTTCGTCGAGAAGCACAAAGCAGATGAAGATGTTACTCACGACGACCACGAACAGCACCATCGTTGTCGTCGATATTCGCCGCGGGAGGATCGCGAAAGCCATGACGGGAATGAGGTTGTGCTGCGAAAGCTGCGAGGTTGTGCAATGCTGGTGGGAACGAGGGTATTCGAGACGTGCGTGGCTTTTGCTGTCGGAACGGAAGCTTTAAAGTGTGTACGGCAAAGACCGTAGCACCCCTTCAGTGTGCAAGCACTGCTTCTCCCGCTACTAGTAGCCTACCTAATCCATTGCTCACGGAATAAATGTTCACGACTCGGCTGGGGATTGTGGGAAAGGATGTTCGTTCTGCTGGTTAGTAGTTGCGTTTAGTTTAGACTTGGCCAGCTTATTGTGTTATTCGACAACTGACGTGAGCAACTCTTTACATCCAACCCTAAGAAGCACATTCATTATACACCTAAATTGGAATATTTTGATTTTGGTCACCTTAACAGGATTTTCACCCTGGAATGTTCTCATCCTAATGTATATTCTATTTTGGAAATAAGATTTCTCTTTGCTGCAATCAAGAGTTGATCGACCCTAGGATCACCTCAGGAAGGTTCGCACACTACTGAGTAGTGGTGGTGGGCCCTTGACCTCAATTCAGAGTGAATGTAAAATGATTGAGATAATTAAAACATGCAAATACAGGAATATAAATTAGAGTACAAGATGGAATACGAAACATCATATCTAGCCATGTACTCTACGGGGTACATTCCCTTATTGCAACCAAATCCAACCGAACGACTCCAGACGGTTACGAAACTGTTCGGGCAGAATCCTCGCCACTGCTGCTGCCTGATGTTGTCTGCCTTGACGGTCCAGATGCTTCGTAACCGTATGACCCTTCGCGTCAATTCCGCCCTTTCGTCTTCAGCCTCGGTACTGCATGCTTCGATTGCGATTGTCAGGAGTGCACAGTAATGTTTCACTTTTTACTATTCCCCCCTTCACTCCTGGCCGTAGCGGGTCTTGACCCGCTTGACTACTCCGCTGAGTTCGGAGCAGTGCTGGTACTGCTGACGTGGCAGTTTCTTCGTGAGGAAGTCGGCCGCCATGTCACCCGTTGGGCAGTAGGTTAATCAACCTTGCCCTTGTCGACTTCGTCTTTGGCGAAGAAGTACCGCAACGCGATGTGCTTGGTGCGGTTGACGAATCTTGGCTTGTTCGCGATCCTGATCGCACCCTGGTTATCGCAGTGCAGGCGGAAGTTCGGCAAAGCCGGAATTTTCGCATCCTGTAGTAGCTCCTGTAGGTAACAGAGGCGAAGAGCAGGCATCCTAGCTGCTGCTGGTAAGTCTGGAGTCCAGCGGGGGACAGGGTTTTGTTGTCAGGTTTGTGGTACGGTCCCGGGGTACGGTAAGGTGTGGAGAGTGGTGCAGGCGCAATGTTGAAGCGTTTGCCAAGTTCTTCTGCATACTTGGCTGCTGAGAGGTGAATGGCTTCTGGTGATTAGGAGATGTTCAGCCCAAGGAACTGCTTCACCTCACGTTTGCAGGTGATGTCGACGCGCCCCGCAAGATTTTTCTGGAACTGCTCAAGCAACTCGTTGCTCGACCATGTGTAGAGGAGGTCGTCGACGTAGACCGTGAGCAGAATGTATTCGCCACGGAAGTCGCGGCGGTACATGCCGGGATCGTGAGGCAGCTGCTTGAAGCCTATCTCAAGCAGGATGTTGTGTAGGTATTGCTGCCAGAGCCTTGGCGACTGTTTGATCCTGTAAAGGGACTTTCGCAGCTGGCACGCACGCGAATCTCCTTCGCCGTACGTGTGCGGCTGTTCCACATAGATCACAGCATCCACTAACGCGTAGAGGAACGCGTTCGTCACGTCAATCTGGTGAAGTGGTAAGTGCCTTGCGGCGGCAATGGCGAGTAGGATTTTGACGGAGGTGTGACGGCTGACCGGCGCAAACGTCTGGTCGAAGTCGATGCCGTGCCTCTGGTCGTAGCCACGCATGACCTAGCGCGCCTTAAATCGCTCAATCGTGCCGTTGCTGCGGTCTTCACGCGGAAGACCCATTTCCCGGAGAGAATCCTTCTCCCCTTGATTGCTACTCGATCGACAAGCACCCAAGTGTCACGGGACTCAAGTGCCTTGATTTCCGCATCCATTGCCTCGCGCCATTCCTTGCTGTGTGGTCCCGTGAGTGCTTGGCGCGGGTTCTTTGGCTCAATGGCACGTGGCACCGTTGAAGTGGCGGTGTGGAGTCCGAGGAGTTGTAGTCCAGAAACGGTGCTGTCGTGGCGATGCTGCGGGATGACCTCCTGCACGTCATCGTCGTCGATTTCTGGTTCAAGTGGTGCTGGCGGTGCTGCGCCCCTGCTGCTTCCTCCTGCTGCACCTGCTCCTCCTTCAGAGGAATCGCTATCGTCGTCGTCGCTGCTGCTGTGGCGATCACCTCCTGTGAACTCGCCTCTGGTATCCTGCTCCAGAATGGCTGCTGCAGCTTCGTCCTCGGGTGTGGCGTAGCTGCGCCCGTCGTTGGCGTAGACGCGATTCGCGTTCGCCCGCTCGTCTTTGCGGAATTGCTCGAGGAAGAGCCGCTCGTAGAAGATAATGTCGCGCGCGTTCGCGACCTTCTGGCTCATGAGGTCCAGGATGAGCCACGCCTTGTGTTCGTGGCTGATGCCGAGGTGAATGCCCAAGCGCGCACAGCTTGCAAATTTTCCGATAGTTGATGTTGGCGGGCGGTACTGCACCATGCACCCCCACACGCGGAGCATAGATGTGTCGCCCTTCGTTCTCGTGATGGCGGTGGTTGATAGCAAGTTGTGCACCCGCACGACGTGGTGCATTGCGTAGGTCCAGTAGATTGGCAGAAGCTTTGATTGCTTCATCAGCGCCCGCACCTTCGTCATGAGCGTACGGTTCGTGCATTCAGCTATGCCTTGCTACTAGTGCGCGTAGGGGAGGGAGATGTGATGTTCGATTCCCTTCTACGCCAGGTAATCTTGTAGCTCCTTGATCCGAAACTCTGCTGCGCCGTCCGATTGCCAGATTTCCAGCTTCTCCCCAGATTGCCGCTGTGCGTGCGCCAGTCAGAGGCAGAAAACTTTGTATGCTCTGCTGCGCGCCTCCAGGTTCACGATCCAGACATAGCATGTTCCTGCGTCGACGAAGGTGAGCGTGTACAGCTCGTCGTTGATTCCGCAATGCCCTACGTTGAGGAAATCGCTGTATACTTTGTGCAGCTTGGGGTAGTGGTTGGTTCGAGGGTCGAGCAGTGGGAACGGCTGGTGACTCACCGCAGCTTCGGGGCAGACGGTGCAGTTGCGCGGCTGTGTCGTGCTTCTCACTTCGGTGCCATCTGGGCGCAAGAGTGCGCCAGGCGCAAAGATGCCAGCTTCGATGCAGTTTTTCAGCGTTACACGCGAGGGGTGACCGAGGCGCTGGTGCCAAAGGTCATCGTTGGCGCGGAGTCCTGATGTGCGCATGTAGCGTGCGCGCACAACATCGGGGTCTTCTTCTGGTGCTGGGGCGGGTTCTGCTACCGCTTCGTCTGCCGCTTCTTCTTCTTCTTCTTCGTCGTCGTTCGTCGTGGTCAGCATAAGCGCCAAAAATTCCATGTCGAGAATCACGGAGAAGGGGATGTTGGTCACAGAATGGTTCCAGGGACAAAGGTTGGTTCGTGCGGCTTGGGGTTAGGCCCGTAAACGGTACGCCGCGGGGTAGAGGGCTCATTGCCCCAGTCGATGGTGTCCTAGGGGTTGCAGTGCGGCTGGATGTCAGGTGGGGGTAGTGCAGGTGCAGGGCGGCGCGGAGGGCGACCAAGAGGAACAACAGGAGGTTCTGCCTCGTTTTCTTCTTCCCCCTTTTGGTCCTCGCGGGAAGCTCCCCAGCCTTCGCCAGAAGTGCCCCAACCGCTTGTCTCGTCGCCAGATGCGGTGCCCCATCCTCCAGTGTTGCCACCAGTTGCGGGCTCCCCATCCGCCAGTGTCGCTCGTACCCCATCCGCCAACGCTTCCCCGCTCCTCTTCATTGGAGGCGCTCTCCTCTTCTTCCCATCCGCTCCAGGCGAACGTGCTGCGCGACTCCGCAAGACTCCGCTGGTAAAGCTCTTCCACCTTGCGTCGCGCCTGTTCTTCTTCTTGCGCCACAGTAAGCTTTGTCGTAGAGTTGCACCGGTGAGAGTAGATCTCCATGAACTTCTCCTTTGTGTAAGGTCGCAGCACGCGGTGCGCATCGAAGGTGTCGGCACCGATAACACGTAGTATGCCCTAAAGGTGTTGCGATTTCGAGCTCCAAGGTTGACATTCCTTCCTCA